GTTGTTATGATTGTTAGAATTCATGTGTGAAGGGCACACACGAAGTGCTGTATTGGTGTTAGCTCTGCTACTGAAGTGTTAAAAAATGTCTATTCTTTGAATTCTGTGTCTGCTTATAAAAACACATACACGGGTCTAGGTGTCCATGAAATAAGTTAGCAAAATTCATTGTCCTCAGGCACTCAATAAAATTCCCAACTTACTCCAAATGGTTAGACATTTACAGACATGTGAGTTATTAAACATGTTATGTCATGAAAACTTTAACTTGCCTCCTTCAGCAGGAAGGAAACACAGGATTATCATCTCATTTGACAAATGGGAAACTGAGATCCAAGTCCTATGTTCTTCAGTCTAGAAAGTGAAGAGAACTTGCGTTGTGTGATGAGGGCCTATGGAAGAAATGGGAGAGAAGGGAGAGATTCATGTGGGCTCTGGCAGTCAGGGAAGATCCCTTGGAATAAGGTCAGTGGTTGAGTTGGGCTTTGGGGATAGAGAGGCTTTTGATAGATAAAGAGGAGCAGGGAAAATTTTCTAGGTGGAGAAAAGACTACAGAGGTATTAGAGAGGGGTTGTTTGGGGAATGCGCTAGGATGTATATGGGATAATAAAAAGAGTAGCTAACACGTAATGAATGCATTCAGTGCAGCTGGTGAAGTACATAAGTCCTTTATGCACCTTGTCTTATGTAATTCTCAGCAGTCTAGTCATGGAGGTACTGTTTTTGTGCCTTTTTTTGCAGGGGCCTTTAAAGAAGTGACTTGTCCATAGTCTCACCCTACTAAGGGCAGACTTAGAAGCTGAGCTCATGATGTGAGATTCTGAAGCCTTCTGGCCCAACTCACCATTTGCTGAAGGTTGGAAACCATTGGCTCAGGAGTTGGGGGTGGGGGGGTGGCTGGATAGATGGGTTGCAGCAGATTGCAGGGGGCCCCCAGTGAGGCTGGCCAGTTGGGTTTTTATCATTTGTTGATTCTAAACACAGTCACTTACACAGTCACTTACACTGGGCTCTACTTTCTTTCCAAAGGTTGGTGCATCCTGTTGAAATCCCAGAGGTCTGCAGTCTTCCCATGGACCAAGGAGATGTGCAATGTTTAAAGAGGCTTGAAGAGGGCATGGAGGAGAAGAGGCCGGGGGCAGTTTTTGTGCGTATGTGCATGCTGCTTGTGGCCTGTAGCCTTCATCAGCTGCACTCTGGGAAAGGGGAGGCCTCTTTCTGCCTCCTGGCATCTCTGGATTCCATGTTCCGGTCAGCACAAAGGTGCTAAATAACCTGTGGAGGCTGAAGGTCTGGGGCTTCTAAGGCTGAAGAGAAGGCTGGGCCAGTCAGGTCAAGTGGGAACCGCCAGTACAAGTCTCTGAGGGCTTCATGCTTGGGGGAAGCTGGGGATGAAGATGGTTGTTTGTAGGGTCGGCGGGGAGGTGGCAGTGAGGGTGAAGTTTTTTATCTTCTTTAGTCACTGGGCCCATCTTGATTGCTCTCCTGCTTCTCATGGGGAAGAATGGGCCCAGTGACCTTGTTCACCTGAAAGTGTGTGGAATGAACGCCTCCTTCTAGTGGGACTTTCATGTGCTTTATTGAAAAGGATGAATTGCTAATGGTGGACTATCCGGGATCAGCAGGAGTATTTCTTCTGGCTAAAGATGCTTTTGTTGCTCCTGAGTCCTGAGGAGGGGGTTTGGGTTTGGGCTTCATGAGTGTGTGTACAACTGCAGGAAAATTAGGGCTTAGACCCAGCCTCATGAGTTGGGAGTGAGTCTTGGCTCTTTCCTATCCTTAATGCGACAGACATCAGAAGGTTCTGTTGTCTTGCTCAGTGGAGACATAGATTCTCTGCCTAGCATACTAACCTTTTCTTTTTTTTTTTTGTCTTTTGTCTTTTTTTCCGTGTCCGGCAACGGATCGCAACCCTCAGTGTCACCCCCGCACCGGACCGGGGACCGGCAACGGGATCGCAACCCTCGGTGTCGCTCCCGCGCCTCGGTTTGGGTCTGGGCTTCATGAGTGTGTGTACAACTGCAGGAAAATTAGGGCTTAGACCCAGACTCATGAGTTGGGAGTGAGTCTTGGCTCTTTCCTATCCTTAATGTGACAGACATCAGAAGGTTCTGTTGTCTTGCTCAGTGGAGACATAGATTCTCCGCCTAGCATACTAACCTTTTCTTTCTTTTTTTTTTTTTTTTTTTTTTTTTTTTTTTTTTTT